GGGCAGCAGGTGAGGCTGACGCTGATGGAGCAGCAGGTGAGGCTGACGCTGATGGAGCAGCAGGTGAGGCTGATGCTGATGGAGCAGCAGGTGAGGCTGACGCTGATGGAGCAGCAGGTGAGGCTGACGCTGATGGGGCAGCAGGTGAGGGTGAGGCTGACGCTGATGGAGCAGCAGGTGAGGCTGACGCTGATGGAGCAGCAGGTGAGGCTGACGCTGATGGAGCAGCAGGTGAGGCTGACGCTGATGGGGCAGCAGGTGAGGCTGACGCTGATGGAGCAGCAGGTGAGGCTGACGCTGATGGGGCAGGTGAGGCTACGCTGATGGGGCAGGTGAGGCTGACGCTGATGGAGCAGCAGGTGAGGCTGACGCTGATGGAGCAGCAGGTGAGGCTGACGCTGATGGGGCAGCAGGTGAGACTGACGCTGATGGGGCAGCAGGTGAGGCTGACGCTGATGGGGCAGCAGGTGAGGCTGGCGCTGATGGAGCAGCAGGTGAGGCTGACGCTGATGGGGCAGCAGGTGAGGCTGGCGCTGATGGAGCAGCAGATGAAGCTGACGCTGATGGAGCAGCAGGTGAGGCTGACGCTGATGGGGCAGCAGGTGAGGCTGACGCTGATGGGGCAGCAGGTGAGGCTGGCGCTGATGGAGCAGCAGATGAAGCTGACGCTGATGGGGCAGCAGGTGAGGCTGGCGCTGATGGAGCAGCAGATGAAGCTGACGCTGATGGGGCAGCAGGTGAGGCTGACGCTGATGGGGCAGCAGGTGAGGCTGACGCTGATGGAGCAGCAGGTGAGGCTGACGCTGATGGAGCTGATGGGGCAGCAGGTGAGGCTGGCGCTGATGGGGCAGCAGGTGAGGCTGACGCTATTGGGGCAGCAGGTGAGGCAGACACTGATGGAGCAGCAGGTGAGGCTGGCGCTGATGGAGCAGCAGGTGAGGCTGGCGCTGATGGAGCAGGTGAGGCTGGCGCTGATGGGGCAGCAGGTGAGGCTGGCGCTGATGGAGCAGCAGGTGAGGCTGACGCTGATGGAGCAGCAGGTGAGGCTGGCGCTGATGGAGCAGGTGAGGCTGGCGCTGATGGAGCAGCAGGTGAGGCTGGCGCTGATGGAGCAGCAGGTGAGGCTGACGCTGATGGAGCAGCAGGTGAGGCTGATGCTGATGGAGCAGCAGGTGAGGCTGACGCTGATGGAGCAGCAGGTGAGGCTGACGCTGATGGGGCAGCAGGTGAGGCTGACGCTGATGGAGCAGCAGGTGAGGCTGATGCTGATGGAGCAGCAGGTGAGGCTGACGCTGATGGAGCAGCAGGTGAGGCTGATGCTGATGGGGCAGCAGTGTGAGGCTGCTGATGGCAGTGAGGCTGACGCTGATGGAGCAGCAGGTGAGGCTGACGCTGATGGAGCAGCAGGTGAGGCTGACGCTGATGGAGCAGCAGGTGAGGCTGACGCTGATGGAGCAGCAGGTGAGGCTGACGCTGATGGAGCAGCAGGTGAGGCTGGACGCTGATGGAGCAGCAGGTGAGGCTGACGCTGATGGAGCAGCAGGTGAGGCTGACGCTGATGGAGCAGCAGGTGAGGCTGACGCTGATGGAGCAGGTGAGGCTGACGCTGATGGAGCAGGTGAGGCTGACGCTGATGGAGCAGGTGAGGCTGACGCTGATGGAGCTTCCATGTAGGCTGGTGATGTGGAGGGTGCTGCTGTTGTTGCTGTTTTTTTAATTTGGTGAGGGATTCGGGGCAGCTCTGCTTTGGATATTTTCAAGTGATCCACATTGATTTTTTTTAAACGTTACCACCCTCCGACAGCAGATCAGCACTTTTCTCCTCTAGTGCTGTAATTTGGAAAGGGCCAAGGAAGTTTGCCTCAAGCTTGCCACCTTTTCTTTGTTGGCTCCTCACATTCTGTCGCCACACCTGGTCACCTACTCTGAAGTGACATTTAGGAATGCCGTGTCTCAAGCGCTCCCTGGTGCTTTTTTCCTGCTTGGCAATATTGCCATGGAGAATGTCCTTGATTTCCTCAAGGTTTTTAACGCCCTGGGAAACCTTTTCCTCAGCCACAACATCCTCAACACTGCTGTCTACCTGTGAATACATGTTTTGATATTCCTTCAGTAAATGTTTTCAACATTAACTTGATATACCTTAAGTTATATTGAGACGTGTTTACCAACCATGAAGTTTTCTGGCACCTCGGTTGGATACCGAGCCTCTCGGCCAAACATCAGAAAGTATGGGGAGAACTTAGTTGTCATCTGCTTTTTTGTCCTCAAGCCAAACATGACTGCATCTAGGTACTCATCCCAGTCTTCTGGTTTGTCTGCCACCAGCTTCCTGAGAGCTCTAAAAAAAAATAACAGAATTTGTACTGATAATAGGCATTATATACTGTGTATATATATATATATATATATATATATATATATATATATATATATATATATATATGGTCCGACTGGCATTTGCCTCACCTTTGTATGGTGCCGTTCATCCTCTCTACCAGCCCATTTGTTTGAGGGTGATAGGGCGAACAGAGACTTCTCTGAATCCCCATCTTGGCACATACATTCTTGTTGATCTGTAAATATAAAGAACATTGTATAACGTTTTATATAGATGAAAACACAACTACAATATTTTTGCAAAACATGTTTAAACCATTTTCAAAATGACCGCATTGACAAACTCTCTTCCTTGGTCAGTCAGGATTCTTTTCGGCACCTCAAACTGATGGAAAAACTTGACAATGCATTCTGTCACCTCAGTTGCTGTTTTGGTTTTCAGAGGATATGCTTGTGGCCATTTGGTGAGGTAGTCTACCATAACGCAAATATATACATGCCCACTATTGGTAGTTTTTAATCTGCCAATCAAGTCCATGCCAATGAGCTCAAATGGATGTTCAACCTTGAAAAAAAGGACAAATAATAATTATACATTTTATTCTGGATATAATGTTTGTGAGCATGTTGTGTAGGGATAATAATTCTGCTCAAATCAATCAGAGCTTTCTTCCTTTCTACATTATCTGCTGAGATGGATGTGATCTGTGAGGTAAATGTGTTTTGTGATACAACAACAGACATTGATTTTGAGAATGTGGTAAAAAACATGACTTTTATTGGGGTATATTCCACCTCCTGTTTGATAGGATGAGCAGCTGCCTGGCACACTGCACATTCTGACACCTGTTCAAAACACATACACAGGTTATCTGAATACCTTTTTCTGTCAGTTCACACAGGACCCAACCAAATAGAACAGGTTCTTACATTTCTGTAATTTAAGGAAATAATACATACACTTAAATGCAAGTAGGCATTGCGATAAGCTGAAGCTATAAAAAGTGAAGAGCTTACCCATTTATGTATGTCAGAAGACATCCCAGGCCAAAAGAATCTTTTCGGACTAGTACCAATGAATGGAGCACGTTTCATGAATGTGACACCTTTATTTTGTAAGATAGCAAGGGGGGGCATATTGTGATAACCAGGCCTGTCATAAAATGCACCCCCCCCAAAAAGATGTTTGTATTATTCCCACCCTCAAGCATTTTCCAGGGTATAGTTGTAGGACTAGTACCAATGAATGGAGCACGTTTCATGAATGTGACACTTTTATTATGTAAAATAGCAAGGGGTGCATAACGTGGCAAAAATATGCTGACAAAGACTATGTAACATTTGTAAACATATATTTTGATTATTATATGACAGATATGTAAAATTAAACAATACATTTTAAAGCACGTGTATATAGACAGGACGTAACAATAACAACAAAAAAAGATTTAACTGAAAAGGAAGTGACGAGTGAATTTCGACACCACTACCATCAAATACGGAGCGAAAAGTTTAACCACAAGAATCAAGACTATATGAGCTACCACTAAACAACTCAGTCTGAAAATTACCATTAATAAAAACCCTGAACGTTTACTTTTCGTTTTAAACATCCTTTTAAGGTGTAAACGTGTCATTTAGAAATGCGCGATCCCGTGACAAGGGGGGCATTTCATGACGGGGGTGCATCATTTGGCACAACACCGGTGTTATGCCGTAGATTGAAGCCTTGCCGTAGATTGAAGCCCTGTCCGCGGGGACGCGCAAAGTGACGTCATCGCCTGTATTGAGTTTCGCCGAGTTTTCAAAGCTTTTTTCTCTCTTTTGAATGATATATTTCACATCAGATTAAACAGCAAACGGCTGAATAAATAATGTGCATACAATTGCAAGGTTTCTCTTTTTAAGGAAAGGCAATGAAAGGATAAGATGTCATTTGTCAGTATAGTCCTATTTCTTAAAACCTTCGCTGTTGTTTAAGTGTCTGATACTTGATAACCACGAATATAAGCAATGATATAACAGTAATGATATAACATATATGATAATGTCAGACACTGTGTTATTTTCAATCAAGCCTAAAAGATTATAATCTGTTCAAACTGGCTCCACTCGCTTTAATTGCTCCTTTGAATGTAATTTTCCTCTGTGGTTTCCTACTCAACACATGTTTGTATTGTAATGCCACTCATATTTTATTTTTTATTTTATTTTAAGGTGACATTGAATGTTTTGAAAGGTGCCCTAAAATAAAGTTTATTATTGATTAGTGCCTATATCACACTATTAATGTTCCTTATTTTAGACTAGGTTTTTCCCGGTGTCAATAGGGAAGATCTGCACTGTTCTCTACATAACATGTTCAGCAGAGCAGGTATTTCTCCTGCCAGATATGGCACCCCCCCTACAACTTTGTCCAGGACAGTCACAACTTCACCAAAATCACACTGGTGTTTGCTGTTCCCCTCTAGTTTGTGCTCACCAAAGCATTTTACTCTGGGCCCAGCAGGTACAAAACTACAGAGGGGCTTCCAAATCCGGCAGACCAGGTGTTGTAGCTGCCGGATTTGGAAGCCCCCCTAGATCTTTGTCCAGGATGGTCAGAGACTCACCAAAATCACACTGGTGTTTGCTGTTCCCCTCTAGTTTGTGCTCACCAAAGCATTTTAGGAAGATTAAGATCTTGTATTTGCATGCTGACCAAGTCATTTCTCCAAGTCATAATCATTAATATGTATGTCCTGATTTTCTTCCCCTGGAAACATGAAATAAAAAAGAAAGGTGAAATGTACATAGTTATGTTTATATTTTTCTTGAAAGCAGTACATCATTATTACATTAAATACAAAAACTTTACATACATTCCTTGAGGTCTGGTTCAAAACAAATAACCTGTCCCTCAACACTTACAAAAGGGACTTAAGAAAGTCAGGCACTACACCCACTCCCCTTTATATCCAAGGAGCAGCTGTTAAGGTGGTCCCTTCCTTTAAATACCTTGGGGGGCACATAACAGAGACGGCAGGTGCAGGAAAAAGGACTCCTGCATCATGAAGGATGCCACACACCCTGCAAATAAACTGTTTGCCTAAAGAGGGGCTTTTTTAAGGCAGCTGTTGGGGATTTCATATGCACCCACCACAAATGTATGTTCTGTGTGTAGGTGGTCTGCCCACACATTCATGGTGGAACCACCGGTTACACACATCACAGGCGATCTATGAAAAAAACAATTGCATTGTGTTTAATATTTTCAGTTCATAATGATAGCAGGGAAAAACAGCATTTTTGTTGTTTCAGTTATTACAAATCTATAATTAACATGATTGTATGTCAATATAATTTGTACCCAGTATGTGTACTCGTCCCTCTGGCCAGCACAATAGCAACAGATAGCGCTAAGGTCATCTGTTAACAAAAACAGTTGGCACAAGAAATGACAATCAATATGCAGTACATATTTTACTGAATTAACCACCTGTTTCGCTGTGAGATACGAGTTCATTTTTTATTGCAGTTGTATATTTAAAATCTTGTCTAACCTATTCAGCTTTTCAGTGTAGCCTTAAAAAGCATATGCATTTAAACAAATACTTTTAGGGAAACATTTTATTTACAATACATCTGCTAGCAAGAGTAAACATACCAGTTTGTTGGGTCAGAGTTGTTCCATCTGTGCTCTTCAATAGCCTGTTTGGTGGTTGCGAAGGAGATGGCATCTTCTGAGCTCAAAATGCTTTCAGCAAACTTCAGTGAAATGAAAGGAAATGTTTTAAAAAATATTATTGCAAAGACAATTGAGTCAATAGAGTTATGTTTATCAAGGAAGACGGAAATGTGTGTACGTTACGTTTACATGTAAGCTCTTTCAAAGCAAAGTGTAACTTGGTTTTGTAGCTTACCTTTAAGGCAAACACCCCACATGAGGTGCCATCTGGTTGCTGGGGGTGAGTTGCACTTCAACTTGGAAATGTTGCATCCTTTACTTTTTAAGAACCTTCTGAGTTGTGGAAAGAATATATAATTGTGATGTTTGCATCCGTTTTATTCTATCTACAATGTATAGTAGATGGTGACAGCTGAAAAACAGTAATTCAAATCTACCTTGTTATCTCCGTGCACCTTTTCACTTTGACAGTGGACTCCCCTAATGGACCCAAGAACTGGCCCCTCTTTTGGGCTGGATACATGACCTCTACATGACCTCTACATGACCTATCATGTCATGAGAGTAGAAAGAGAATATGTTCAAAAGTATGCATTTTGGAAAATCCCTCTACCACTCCAACCACCCTCACCACCCTCAATATTCTTCATGCATTATATTAGTTTTTGTAAAAGAACAGTAAGATTTATAATAGTACTTATTGCATCTGTGATATTAATTAATTATTAAGACAGAACAAAGAAAGGGAGGAAAGAAAAAAAATGTTTTTATTTTATTTTACTCACAGGGAGATTACAGGAATTTGTATTTACTAATGCCTTGATTCCACTCACCGTTAATGTCCAGTGGTGGTGATCATTGACGATCCCCAAGATCACATCATAGTCCAATGGATCAATCTGAAATATATATTTAAAAAACACTTTACAACTTTTGTTTCACTTATTGACATGGCTTCATTGACACATTTGAAATGTCAAGAATTTGGAACAACGGCACATCAAGGCTCAAAGTTAGTTGCTGATAATGACCTATTCCAACCATGTAGTGGTCTGGCACCTCTGATGGGCAGGGTTCCTGCAGGTTTCGCCAACTCAAATTTAAGACTTTTTAAGACCTTTTTAAGACCACTTCGAATAGAATTTAAGACCTATTTCACGGCAAGAAAGTATGAAGGAAAATTGCTATGAAAGAAGAAATACGTCCCATAATTACTTACAAATCAAATGTATTCATGTTCAACATAAGAACAATGACTGAACATAACAGCATAACAGTACAGAACTGTGTTAGCCAAAAAGTGTGTATGTGTCTCTGTGTGTGCTTGTGTGTGTGTTAGGGCTGTGCAATTAATCGTATTTTAATCGCAATTACGATTTTGGCCTGCCACAATTACAAAAACATAATCGAAAAAACCTATTATTTAGCTTTGCTAGGTTGTGACAGTGCACTACAACATATTTGATCTAATTAATTTTAGTCTAATTTATTTTTATTTATCATATTTATATATGTTTAGTAGCTTGTGGAAGTGCGCTCCAAAATATTTGTTGATCTTGTTTATTGGTATTTATTATTTTGATATTATTTATTTAAATATATCATTTATTTAATTTATTTTTGTATTGGTTTTTCAGTTGAATTATACGTTCAGGGTAATCAACAGTTAAAAAGATACTGTTCAAATTATTATTTGTTTTAAAGCTCCCATGTCATGCTTTTCCGGTTATTACCCGTCCCCTTGTGTGTTATGAAGGTTTTTATGCATGTAAACGGTGTGCAGAGTCAAAACCCTCAAAGTACACCCTGTAGCGAGTAAAACTCTAACACAGAAAATACCTCCCCAAAACGCCTCGTTGGAGATACGTCACTGCCCATTTGAGTCTTCCATTTAGTTCCGGGTACCGCCTGATGTCATGCGGTACCCGGAACGAAATGGACCAATCCCGAAGAGCTATGGCCACACCAGCAGCGGCGTGTTCCTCCTCCAGAGGTTCGAAGAACCGGCATTTCACAGACGAAAGCTTCCAAAACATTGCCCAGTTTGAGGCCGGATATGCACAGCTTGTTTGGACCGTTTGGAGCAGGGGAAGATCTGGGTATACAACCTGTAAGTTTGCATTGTTATTTGTGTATTTATCAAACAAGACTGTTTAAATGTGTAAACTGTGTTGGACTGCTAAGCCATTGACACAGTGCTAACTGTGCTAACTAAGTTGCTAGAGTTTCCATATATCAACTCTAATATCAGCAGATGGCCTTGCATACATGTATCTCATAGCAGGAGAATGTCTGCATTCACACACAAAATACCTATTGACAGTATACTGCGGGTGATTTGCCGGTCAGTCGCGAAACGTAATTACATTATAGCTGGCGTAGCGATCTAACACACGGAGCTTGAGCTAGCTTTGGTCAGAAAAACATTTTTGTGATGCTACGTTGCTAGCGTTTAAATATATCAACTACAATGTCAGCAGATGGCCTTACATGTTTGTCATGGCAGGAGAATGTCTGCAGTCACACACACGGAATACTCATACAGTATACTCCGGTTTACCGTACATTGTGACCGTACATATACTGCATGTAGCTAACGAGGCTAGCTGTATGCTAGCGCAAAACAATGTATTCATGCAAGTTACATTGTATGGTAGCGGAATACCCGTATACGATTGCAATTATAAACACGTTATTGCTAGCCTAATATGAACCACTAGCTTTTGTTCATAGTAGTTTTATTACACTGCATTATAGTTGCCTTTCCTCCAAGCTAACGTTCATATCGTGTTAGCTACCAAGGTAAACAAAGCTAGGTTAGCATATTAGCAGGCAAGCTGTTCATTACACAACTACTACTAACGAATGTAAAACAACTAAGTTTCTCTAATATTTTGTGATTTGCATTTGATTTCGTCCAGCCAGATCCTGGCGGACAATCCATGACGTGCTAAAAGGCACTTCTACTACTACTGAGGCGTCGTGCTAAAAGGCACCGCACCGACTGTGCGCAGGCAAGATGCAAGGAGGAGGAATGGATGATATACCGTGTATATATGTATATTTATGTTCATTTTGTACATTTCTAAAAATAAAGTTTAATGGAAATACTTAGTAGGCCTATCCTTTCTTCCCTGAATTCATATATAGCAAACCATGATTTGATTTCTCATCAAACAGTAGTAGTTTATAACGGGTAAAAATAACTTACTCTTTGTTATGAGCGGCTCGTAGGCCACAAAGACAAGGAGACATACACGAGTTTACAAAACCACGGCACATTTATTGTGGTAAATGCAGATAGGTGGTTGAGAGGATCGCAGAGTTAGTCTTCCTGCAGCCGCTTTGGAGAGAGACTGGGGCCGTAGTGTCCGGAGGTGTCCGTGATCGTGCTGATTAGCCTCTTCAGCTCCACCCCATCGTAAGACAAAGGCCCTGGGGCCGTCACACTCTTCTATAACAACAGTTAAAAATATATATGTATATAAAATATACGGCTGTGCTGACGCCATGATAAGACTGATGTTACGCTGAGAGCAGCCGGGAAAAGCACTGTTAGACATGGGCGCAGCCTCTCTGGTGGTTGACTAATCAGAACGAGTGGCCGAGCTGACCAATCGGAGCACACTAGGCTCACAGGGAGGGGGGGGCAAGAGCTCCAACGAGTCGTTTAGTGGAGAAAGTGAATACTGCTGAATACACATGCTTGACAGAGATGCTGTATGCGAAACCAATGTGAGTTTGGAAAATTGCACAGTATAAATCTATTTTAGTATACCTCAACAATGTAATTATGATCAGTGGAAATGGCCATGACATGGGCCCTTTAAAGTTCAATAAATGGATGTTTTCAAAGTCAATGAATAATCTTATTTAATAATCGTGATATCAATTATTGACCTAAATAATCGTGATTATGATTTTTGCCATAATCGAGCAGCCCTAGTGTGTGTGTGTGTGTGTGTGTGTGTGTGTGTGTGTGTGTGTGTGTGTGAGAGAGAGAGAGAGTAACAAGAGCTATATTCAGAGCTCTGCTGCCTTGGCTACAATCTTTCATCGTTGCTGTTGTATGATTGGTGTTTAACTACGGTATTTAGCGTATACACTACAGCACCTCCGCTTTTAGGGTTGACGTCGAAGACCCAAACGTCGCCCGGAGGTCCAACGGTGTTGTTGCGGGAGCTGCTGCACTAGCTAACGCTGCACTAGCTAACGCTACATTAGCCAAACAAACGCTAATTTATTTTGCAAAAGGTGCAGCAGGCTTCAAACACGTTCCCCTCCACTGGTTTCAACCAAGCACTAAATTCGATGTTTTCCAACCAAATACGGTTGAACTTACACTTCCCCATATTTATTTGTAAGTAGATTCGAAGAGACATGAGTTTCTGACTGCCGCTTGCTGAAGCTTGGTTGCTAGGTTACTAGCTGGGTGTTCTCCGTTAAGGGGCCGGGGGAAACAGAGTTAGTGATTACTGGTTCCATGTTGATTTATTTCAATACAAATTGTTGGGGGGAACTGAAAGGCTATTACCGTTACTTTGCAGCCCGGACATTTCCCCCAAAACACATTTTAGACGCGATCGCAACACAGAAGTACCTTTCAAATCCGATCATTTTTAAGACCTTCTAAATCATATTTAAGACCTTTCTTATTTTTTTGGTCATATTTAAGACCTTTTTAAGGCCTTAAATTCAGATTATCAAATTTAAGACTTTTTAAGACTTTTTAAGACCCCGCGGGAACCCTGGATGGGTAGCGAGCTTCTCTCCCAAACATGAGGAAATAGGGAGAACATTTAGTGGTCATCTGCTTTTTTGTCCGAAGACCAAACATTACTGCATCAAGGTGCTCCTCCCACGTCTCTGGCCTCTGTCCGACCAATTTGCTGAGTGCTCTGAAAAAAAGAATGATCAGATGAGATTGAAGTATAATTCTGACATGTAGACACAGAGGTTTCTATAACATTCTATTTATATTGAATAAACTGCATTATCTTTTTTAACTTACAAAATATGTGTTCATAACAATTAAAGTTAAGCAAAACTGAAATACATATTTAATCTTTATGACAGGTACTTCTTGCCGCTTCTAATAATGGAACAGGGCATGAACACAGACTCTCTGCTCGCCTCATCCTCTCCACCAATCCATTGGTCTGAGGATGATGTGGTGAACACAGACTTCTTTTGATCTGTAGAACCTCACAGACCCGGGTATTGATCTGAAAATTGGTGGAACAAAACATGAAATGACTTCCTCAAAACTAATTATAATTGCATGGTGTAAAATAAATTAAAATGTCTTAAATAAGACTGAAATTAAGTAAACAGAGATTATTCATGACAGATGTTCAGCCTTTATTAAGAAACACTTACGGCATTGACAAATTCTCTGCCTTGATCTGTGAGGATTCTTTTTGGTGCTTCAAATTGATAGAAGAATTTCAGAATGCACCCGGTCACTTCTTCCGCTGATTTGGTCCTGAGAGGGTATGCCTGTGCCCATTTGGTCCTGAGAGGGTATGCCTGTGCCCATTTGGTCCTGAGAGGGTATGCCTGTGCCCATTTGGTCCTGAGAGGGTATGCCTGTGCCCATTTGGTCCTGAGAGGGTATGCCTGTGCCCATTTGGTCCTGAGAGGGTATGCCTGTGCCCATTTGGTCATGTAATCTATCATGACACAGACATACTGGTACCCATTTTTGGTTATTGCCAGCTTCCCAATCAAATCCATCCCGATTAGTTCAAAGGGTTGTGTGACCTACGAAAGACAACAATGGAAAGACCATGAAGTATTCTATTTGCAGAGGGTAACTCAAGGGTGTGATAATGAGATATTAACATGAGTATCACAATAATAGGTTAGAGGATTCTTTATAATCATCCTATC